TGGTTCTCTTCATTGATGCTGGCGAAGTCCACCGGCCTGCTTGTCTGCGCTGATGAACTCGCCGCGAACACGTCGCCCCGCTGCTCCATTCATTTGAACTTCTGGGCCGCGCGCCTCCACTTGCAGACGCCTCCGCGGATCTGCGGCCCCCGGCGTGCCTTGACATCTTGAACTCCCTGCTCTCGCTCCTCGGGATGTCTCCGTGGGCGCCGCAGTGGTGCGCCAGCACCTCCAGCGCGTCGCGCTTCCCTTTGAGCTCCACCGCGGGCTCCAGGCCGCCGGTCGTCACGTGGGATTCCGTGCCCATGCTGTCCAGGATGCTGTAGTCGATGGGGGTCGCCCAGCGAGATCGCGTCAACGTGCCTCGCCCGCTTCCCAGGAGAGCCGGATTCCTCGCCGTCCGCGGGTCTAATCTGGCCCCTCGGGGTCATCGATGCGCCCTATTCCATCGCGCTCTCCTCCTGAGGTGTGGCCGCCGCCGCTGCGCTCCCTCCAGATCCTGCTGGCGCCCCTGGTGGTGCTGCTGCGCTTCCTCATGCCGCTTGGGGCCCCTGCTCGGGCGCCCCCTGTTGCGACGCTGCTGGCGCTGCTGTCGCCTCTGCCTCTGCCCTCGCCTTCTGCTCCGCTGCCGTCAGGGCGATCGCCGGTGGAGGTCGCTGAATCTTGGGTAGCAGCTCGCGCGACGTGGCGCTCCGTGCCTCCCAGGGCAGCGCCTTCGCCGCCTTCGTCAGCTTCGCGTCAGCCCGCAGCGCTGGCTCCAGCTTCCTGCAGGTCCTCGCGCGATGCCGCCCCGCAGGTGCCAGGAATATGTGATCGTCGCTCTCCTTGTGCTTTCCGATCCAAATGCCCTTCCGGGTTCAGGATCGTCGGCTCCCCGTCCGTCTTGATGTCCGCCGCGGTGAGATGCGCGCCTTCGATGAAGCTGCTCGCGCTGGCCACCTCGAAATCAGTGACCGCCTTGGTCGGCGTCGAAACCGTGTTGAACATCAGCATGTCCCTCTCAGCCATCGCGAGCGTCGTCGCGAACGTGTCCGCCGCTGGCGTCTCTTCGTCCCCGATCTCCGCCCAGTCGCCGTTGGTCTTCAGATGGCAGAAATCCAGGGCGATCTGCGCCCTCCCCGTGTCCTCCTGGTCGAAGGTGAGCGTCTTCTGCAGCTTGGCCGTCTCGTTTTCTCTCGCGCAGGCCTCGAGCCATGGAGCTCTCGTGAGATGTGGAAGTTCGCGCGCTGCTCGCTCCGCCTCCGTTGGCGCAGCGGGCCCAGCGACTTCGCGCGGTGCGATCGAGGGCCCCCCCTGCGCGGACTCCTCGTGCCTACGCTCCAGCTCCTTCACTCTCGCGTGGTGCGCCGTGAGCCTCCGCTCAGCGTCGCTAAGCCTTGTCCGCAACTCGTCCTTCTTGCCGTAGATCGGCTGCCCCAGTTCCTTGAGCCTGGTCCGCAGGTCCTCCACGCGGCCGTCTGGGTGCAGGAAGCTCCTCAGCGGCAACTCGCAATGCTGCGCGAAGGGCAGGGGTCCCGCCCTTCGCGCAGCACTACGAGTTGCCGAGCTAGACGTCCCCGTCCGTCTCCTGCTGGTTGTTGCTCAGGTCCGACCCATGCCGCTGCGGCCGCTGGCGCTGCCGGTGCTGCTGCCGCCGCGCCCCCGCTGCCAGGGGCGCCAGGTGGCTGCGCGAACTCTTTCTGCTGCTCGTTCGCGTCCACGCCGGCTGCGAACTCCTTCGCCTCCATCGTCGTCCTGAAGGTCTTCGCTTTGAAGCCCAGGGCGTGGTTCTTCCTGCTGAGCGGGATGCCCTTGGTGAGGTCGCCTCCTGGGCACGTGCGCATGCCGCTCTTCGCGCTCAGCCAGAACCCCACACCCTTTATCCGTTGCCTCGGGCAGTGAGAAGATCGTCTTTGACGCCGCGCCGCCCAGCCTGAAGTCGGCGCTCATCAACTTCGCCTGATCATTGTCGTTGTCGACGGCCATCGGCGGCGTCGCGACGGTGCCCATCTTGATATCCTGCCTCTGCGCGTCCAGCAGTCTCGGCCCAGAACCTGCCACCTGCTTGCAGCCTTCGCCGAACGTGGTCGGGCCGACGTGGCAGTCGCTCGCCGTGTCCAGCGTGATGAAGGTGGTCCCGTCCAGGTCCATGCCGCAGAAATCGGCATCACCGTCCTCGGCCTTCATCGTCATGCAGTAGAACTGGTCGTCGTCGCAGATCTCGCACTCGATGTCAGCGTACTCAATCTTGGCTACCGTCTTCGAATTTGCATTCTCCTGCTCGATCGCTGCGTTCCCTTTGGCCTTCTCGTCGGCTAGGTGCTTTCTGCAATCCGCCTTCTTGTGGCCCGTCTTGTGACAGTAGTCGCACTTCCCTGTGAACGTGGCACTATCCTTACCCTTGCTTTTGCAGTCTTTGCCGAAACTCTTGCCTTTTCCTTTGCCGTCACTCTGCGGCTGTCCTCTGTCTCGCCAGTAGCAGTCTCGAGCCGTGTGGTTCGCCTTGTTGCAGAGCTGACACTTGTCTTTGCTGTCCTGCTTGCCTTTTCCCTTGGATATCGCGTCGACGTCCATGTCGTTGCTGCTTCGTCCTGCAGCTGGTGGCTTCGCAATCACTCCGCTCTGACCGATCACTGCCTCGAGGATAAAGGTCCGCATCTGCGTGATGTCGCTTCGCACGTCTCGCAATCCTTGCTCGCCGATCTGCTCAACCGCGAGCGGCTCCTCTGCATCTCTGGCCACTTCCAGCCCCGCTGTCCAGCCTAGCAGTCCACAGTAACTCTCGAAAAGGGAAAATCCAATCTTCGAGGTCCTCCCTCTTACCTGTAAGCGTCGGCGCTTCCCCGACGCCTCTCGAATCTAGCAGCTGCACCCCCGCCGCTGCTGCATCGGCCGCCATGGCGCGCTGGCGCCACTAGCCTTCAGGGAAGGTTCGTTATCTCACACTTGTCACCGTGCAGATATGATGATCTGGACTCGATGATGTTTTGAGCCCCTCATGGGCTATGGCGGGAAGCCCGCTCCAAACAATACAGGCCTTTCTTGGGCCGCACGCAAAAAAGGCCTCCTATGGCGTGTCGTGACTGCCAGGGCCCGTCTGGCCCTGGCTCCACACTGAGAGCCTCGGGAGGGGCCGTACATTCACTCACATGTGCAAGGACGCATAGCAACGATGAGAGGGGGCAGGGCGAAGAGCGAAAAGACGATGACGAGGAGGCGGACCAGGATCAGGACGACGATGCGGGAAAAGGCATCGCGCACAATCGAATGGTATGATACTGGAAGGGGTGATCACATGTGTATATATATATATATGTGTGTGTGTATGTCCTCACAAATATACATATATTGAGTCCGGTTGTAAATGTGCATCCGTGTCAGTATGCATGTATGCATGCACGTGTGTATGTGTGTATATATATGTGTATATATATGTATACGTATATGTATATGTATATGTATATGTATATAAATATGTTACACATACCACATGACGCATATGGCACCACATAAGAAAATGCACCTGGCACACATCATATACTGCATACCGCATGTCGCGCCACAAAGATTGCGCAGCACGTAAACAGCACAACACCGATTGCACAACATAAGTTGAACCACGTAGATCGCGTCATATGTATATATCTGTGAATATGTATATGTATGTGTACATATATATATGTATATATACACACATTAGTGGGCCCTGGAAGCGACAAGGCCAATTTTGACCGGCTCCGTTTTGCCGTTTTTTGTGTCGGTTCCGACGCCGTTTGTGTTACCGGTTACGTCGCCGTTTTTGACCGGTTCCGGCTCCGGTTCCAATCCTGGAGCCGTTTTCTTGTTGTTTCCGGTCGCCGTTTTTTTGCCGTTTCCATTTTCAAGGGGCATTTTTTTGGAAACGGTGAAAAAACGGCCTTGCCGTTTCCGGGGCCCGCAAAATATAGCACCACGTAGGTTGCACACCATAATGCATGAACATGCAAACAGGGCTCCCGCTGCAGCGTTGGCTCGGTTTCAAGACCGGCGAGTTGCTCAAGCCGTTCAGGATGGCGCCCCCGCCCCCTTGCCGTCGCTCGGACGTCCATTACCCGTGCATTTTTCGGTTTCGTGCGTGTCTGTTTTGCTCGAAGGTCCAGGATGGCCCTCGATGGTTCTCGCCGGGAAAAAATGCACGCGTCCGAGCGATGCCACGGCCCCAGCGCTGGAGCGCGGGCCACATGTATGGCTCCGGGTCGTTGCCGCCCCCTCGGCTCCCCGCCGCCTTGCCCTGGTCCTCCTGCTCCTCCCGCTCCTGCCACTCCTGCTCCTGCTGCTGCTGCTCCTCCTCCCCCTCCCCCTCTTCCTGCTGCTCCTCCTCCTCTGCTGCTCCTGCTGCTGTCCCCCTGCTCCTCCTCCTCTGCTCCTCCTCTGCTCCTCCTCCTCTGCTCCTCCACTGCTGCTCCTGCTGCTGTCCCCCTCTTCCTGCTGCTCCTCCTCCTCCTCCTCCTCCTCCTCCTGCTCCTCCTGCTCCTCCTGCTCCTCCCCCTCCTCCTCCTCCTCCTCCTCCTCCTCCTCCTCCTCCTCCTCCTCCTCCTCCTCCTCGAATGTACACGGCCCCCCTTTCCGCGTGCGCATAACACGACGGGATCACTTTGGGGGGTCCATGTTTGCTATGGTGCCCGTCTGCGACTCGAGAAAACTCAGCACACTAGGAAGGGTTGGGTGAGAGAGGCAAGATGGCAGCTACGGCGCAAACGCACCTAGCTTGCCCCCCTTCCCTCTTCTACTCTCGCTTCCCCTCCCTTTTCTCCGCAGCCTCTTCCTCCGCCTCCTCATCCTGCGCCTTCCTCCCCATTCCCCGCGCGCCCTGTCACTCCTCCTGAGAGGAGAGACAAGAAGGGGAGGATGAGGCAAAAGAAGATGGGGAGGAGGAGGAGTGGGAGGAGGAGGAGGAATCTGATGACGATGTTGAGGATGACGACGACGACGATGATGATGTTGCTGATGATGATGACGATGAGGAGGCGGATGAGGAGGAAGAGGAGGAGGCGGATGAGGAGGAGGAGGATGAGGATGAGGAGGAGGCCCCATCGCAGCTGCGGCGGCGCGTCTTCAAGGCGCAACCGATACTCGTGGCTCTCCAGGGCGGTTGCTGAAAAAACCACCGGAGGCGAAAAACCGTGCCGAAGCTGAAACATCTATGTACTAACACGCTCGAGGAGCCAACATGATAAACCACGCGCTCATAACAAATCTTCTGGACGGTGCCTGCAACGGAACTGTCCCGTCCGCGGGCGCCTCGGGCTCCAACATGCACCCTCCTGCCCGTGCACAGGAAAACATAAGAGGGCGATGACGCTCCGTCGCGTCCGATGCTTCCAGCGTGACTTGGACGTTGTGTGATCTGCGCCCCTGTCATCTTGCTCCTCCGACTCATACATACACCTATTCGTCGCCCTCCCTCTTCGCCTGCTCCTGCATACCACTCCTCTGTCCCCTCCCCCTCTGCCTCTTTCCGATCCTCCTTCGTTTCTCCTACTCCTTCTCCTCCTCCCACCCTCTTCCTCCTCCATCCTCTCATTCCCCTCCTCCTCCTCCGCCTCCTCCTCCGCCTCATCCCTTTCCTCCTCCTTCTCCTTCTCCTCCTCCTCCTCCTCCTCCCTCCTCCTCCTCCTCCTCCTCCTCCTCCTCCTCCTCCTCCTCCTCCTCCTCATCCTCCTCCTCCTCCATCCTCCTGCTCCTCCTCCTCCTCCTCCTCCTCCTCCTCCTCCTCCTCCTCTTCCTCCCCCTTCTCATCCTCCCTCGTAGCCGTTTTGGCTCAAGCCATTGGGCATGCATGATCGGCGGCGGCCGCGCCTCTGCCAGAGGCACCTGGGTTTGCACGCCGCCCGGCCCGTCCGCGGCGAGCGCAGAGCTTGGCCGCGGAGCTTGCAGAGCTGCCTCCGGTGGCCTTAAGCGGCCGACGGTGCTGCGCCGGCTGGCCTGCGCGACGTGAAGAGCGCTTAGCCATGCGCTGGCAGACGTCGCGGCGGCAGCGTGGGGAGCCGCTCGGCGGCGGAGGTCGAGGATCGAGGCTCCTCGATCGGGGCGATCCGCGACCCCCGATCCTCGGATCCTCGGATCCTCGATCGAGGCGAATCCTCGCTCCTCGGAGTCCCGCGGGCGGGCCCGCCGCCTCGCCCGCGAGAGGCGAGGTGGCCCCCCGGCCGTCCCCGGCCCCGCGTGCGGCAGAGGCGGGCGGCGCCTGCAGCGCGGAGGGCGCTGAGCACGCGCCCGAGGGGTGCGAAGTGCGGCTCGCGAGTGCGGCTCCCGCTGCCCGCCCGCAGCGGGGCCGGCCTCCGGAGGAGGGCGAGCGCGGGGCTGGCCTCCGGAGGAGGGCTCGGCAGAGAGTGGCGCTCTGCGTGGCGTGCCCGTGGTGGGAGCGGGGAGGGGAGGAGGAGGGGAGGCACGAGAGCAGAGCACGCGACCTGCAGCCCGAGAGGTGGGGCGACCAGGGCGTGGTCCCTGCGAGGAAGCCAGGGCGGGCCTCCAGGGTCCAGAACGCCGCAGCCCTTCCAGCTCACGTCGGGCTCGCGGATGCTGTGGGCGCAGTGCTGGCCTCCGATGGCGCGCTGGCCCCAGACGAAGCCGAGGAGCAGAAGAGCGGCAAGGCTCGCGTCATTCACATTCGATTTCCCGCCGCAACCACCCGCCAACCTGAGCCCCAACTCCGCGAGCGGCCACGGGCTCTCTTGCCGCTCTGGGGGGTTCTGGAGTGGCAGGGCTCGAGACCGGCCGGCCGGGCAGCCGTCGCCACACCCAGGAAGGAGGAGGAGGAGGAGGAGGAGGAGGAGGAGGAGGAGGAGGAGGAGGAGGAGGAGGGGGAGGAGGAGGAGGAGGAGGAGGGGAGAGGGGAAGGCAGAAACGAACAACCCAGATTCGTATTATCTAGTCTAGTTCCGTGCGTTGCACGGCGGAGAGAATAAAACGCAGCCGCTGCGAGGACACAGATGCAGTCTAAGCGGTCGTAGCCCAGACGGGGCAGATCGACCAACATAGAGGCATCAGCATGCCGAGTAGAGGGGATGGGGAGGAGGGAGGGAGGGAGGGAGGGAGGGAGGGAGGGAGGAAGAGAGTGGGAGAGAAAGAGAGAGAGGAGAGAGGAAACACAAGGCAGAAGACCACACAAGGCAAGTACTTTGATAAAGTTGAAGGGCAACAACTTCTCTGCGATTGGCGACGGCTCCACCCATAAAGGAACGGAGGCGGCCCCCAACGGGTGAGCCAGTGTCCTCATGCACGCCAGGGCCGGGCAAAAGCGCCGCCCCGGACACTAAAGCACTTCGCGCTCAACAAAAGAAGCACATGCACACAACGTCGAGAATCGCAGCCAAGCCTTACAGGCGAATCAGGCGGCAAGGGGGAACGAGGAAGAAAAAGAGGCGTAGGAAGGAGGGAGAGGGCCCACAGTGCGGTCGGCATCAGAGCGTGAACACGACGTCGGTCTCGTGGTCGTCGATCTGCTCGCAGCCGCGCAGCTCGCTCCCCTACACTCCCAATCCTGGATGTCAGGGAGACTGTCAAGCACATGCAGAGCCAACTCGACAAATAACGAACTCGAAGGCGAGTTGAAGGCCAAGCGAGTAAATACGATGGAAATCGCCCTTCAAGGGCTCAATTCATCCTTGCACGGAAGTGTGCTGGAGGACAAGTTGGAGGCTCTTGTCTACAAGATGCGCGTTCAGCAGACTTAGGAGGGCCTGCTGGAGCAGCATGTTGCTCGGCTCGCAGACAAGCTTGGGCGTCTGCTAGACCAGCACCACTCCAAGCAAGACGTGCTCGAACTGCATCTGAAATTCCGCGGCAACGGAATCACTTTTTTGAGAACCTTTCTTGCCTCTTCCCTTCCCGCTCTTCAAATTTGCATCCTTCCCTCGATGTGCTCCCCTCCCTCTCGTTGATTGTAGCCGTGCGCGGTAGCTTCAACAGGAAGGAGTTGGGGGAGCATGTGGGGAAGTGGAGGCCGACTGATCTTGATTAGTGTCCGGTCATATTGCTGCTTGTGCTCGGCATACCCGCGCAGACAACTGTAGCAGATAGGTGGGCAAGCGTTGGACTGCTCCTTGGCGTGAGATTGGCTCTCTCCCCTCCGCACCGTGTTCGGGGGATTTTGAGCAAATCACCTGGCGGGTTCTCGGATGGTGTCGGGTTCTTGGTTGTCACCCCCCCCTGCCACGAGATGGAATGCCAATCGCCGTGACATCTGGCAGCGTCATGCTTACAACGCCGATAGTTCAGCGTCAGAGTCCCTCCTCCTCCTCCTCCTCCTCCTCATCATCCTTTCACCCATAGTCACCACCATCAGCATGATCATCAACAAAATCATCAACAACAGCATCGTCATCACCTTCGTCAACACCATCACCGTCACCATTGGCATCACCATCACTGGCATAACCACCATCATCAGCAGCATGGTCATCATTTTCACCATCATCGGCACTATCATCACTATCATCACTGTCGTCATGGTCAGCACTATCATCACTACCACCAACATCACCATCACCATCACCATCACCATCACCATCACCATCACCATCACCATTACCGTCATCATATTCACCATCACCATCACCCCACCATCGCCACCATTCACCATCATCAACATCATCATCACCATCATCGACAGCGTGTTCGGCATCATCATCATCATCGTCATCAGCAGCGTCATCGTCATCACCGTAATCATCATCATTATCATCACACTTACCATCACCACCATCACAATCATCATCACAATCATAAATATCATCACCATCACCATCACCAACATCACCAACAACAACATCGCATTCACAATCACCCTCGCAATCGCCATGGCTATCGTCACTGTCATCGACATCATCATCATCATCATCATCATCATCATCATCATCATCATCATCATCATCATCATCATCATCATCATCATCATCATCATCATCATCATCATCATCATCATCATTATCATCATCATCACCATCATCATCATCATCATCATCATCGTCATCGTCATCGTGATTACCACCACCATCACTGCAATTCATCCTCATTTCCCTCCCTCCTCGGCCTCATCTTGCGCACGATGAGAAACACGCTGCGCGACGCTAGGCGCGCGCGCGGCGTTGGAATCTGGGAAACCTTACCTGGGTGATGCGGGGGGCCGGGGAGTGGAAGGACGACGGGGAGGATGGGGAAGTGGAGGACGGGGAGGATAATGAGGATGTGGATGAGGATGAGGAAGACGAGGAGGAGGAGGAGGAGGAGGAGGAGGAGGAGGAACAGGACGCGGAGGAGGAGGAGGCGGAGGAGGAGGAGGAGGAAGACGGGGAGGACGATGCGCGGCGCTAAAACGAGAGCCATATTCTGAAAACTGACCGCCCTCAATCCTTGAAGCTCCTGTCTCCTTTGAAGCGAATTTGCGCGCCGCTAAGGCCAGGGCTACTATTTGAAAACGTGCCGCCCCCCATCCGTGAAGCTGTTGACATTATAAGCTTCAGGATCACAGCTCGTGAAGGATCGGGGATCTTCTGGCCTCGGTCAATCCAAACCTGGGTCAGTCAGGCCTTGCAGAATCCTGCAAGATCCTGCACCCCAGTCCGGGCCAATGCGAAGGATCCTGCAGGATCCTGCAGGATCCTGCGCCCCAGTCCGGGTCAATGCGACCCTGGCCCTGCGGGGTCCTGCATCGTCGGGCGCTCTGGCAGACCCCCTGTAACAATGACCCCCGTCCCTTGAGCCCCGAAAAGGAACTCAAGTGAAACGCCCAGCCCGCCGTTTCGACCGGCCTTGGGATGCGACAGGGAGGGGGTGGAGCGGGAGGGGAATTACCAGGGGGAGGCAGAGGGGGCGGGGGAGGGGGGGGATTCAGCAGAGAACGCGCGCACGCATCCCAACCCCTCATCAATAGTGCGGGGGACTAGGATGTTGGTGTGTGCGTTCGAGAAGCCCGGGCCCCAGCCTCCCCAGCATCTGCCTCGTCTGCGTTCGGGAGGGGAGGGAGCTTCCTTCCTCGTCTCTGGCCCCATTCGCCCCCCTTCAACATGGGAAGGCGTCATGCACCACATCCGCGGGGGTCTAGCTCCGCAGCTGGTTGGGGGCCTCGCTCCGCGACGGGTGGCGCCTCGCTGCGCGGCGCGGGCGGGGTCTTCGCGCGCGGGCGACGCAGCTGTGTCGCAGCGGTGCGGGTCTCGCTCCGCGACTGGTGGGCGAGCCTCGCTTCACGACCAAGGTGGCGCCGCGCTGCGACTGGGTGTGCCCTACGTGGCGCCTCCAGGCACGGGAGGGCGAAATCCGTCGAAACATGAGCACGATGAAATCTGATAGGATTCGTACGGAAATCCTTGGGGTCCCTGAGGGCGCCCTGAGAAATCTGTCGGTCACCCTAAGGACACCCTGGGCAGCCCCCAGGTTTTCTTAAGGAACGTCATCGGGTTCTGTTGGATGTCCTGTGGGTCCCGGATAGTGATCCTTAGGATTGCTGGAGAATCTTTGGGGTCCACGAGGCAATCGTCAGGATGCCATCGGGCTTCCTCAGCAGACCGTTTTCCCGAGGACTCACGAGGAAAACCTCGGGATTGTTGACGGGGCCCCTGGGGTGCCGTAAGATATGTGATTCTGTATGAAGCTCTGTGGATTCACACAAAACGGGGGCTTGTTGATAATGGTCAGAACATCCAACATGACCCCTGAGACCCTGAGAAGTGTTGAAGATCACCTTCAAGATTGCTGCGGACATGTCGTGACGTCCGAGAAGATGCACGGGAACCGGGTGGGAAACCCCGTATGAGCTTCTGAAGACTCCTTGGGAGGCCACCGGAGCACAGATCCCAATTGGGGGCCACGCCCGCAGGACCAGGGGGGGAGGTGGGCGGCCAGCTTCGCCAGGGAGGCGCTGGAGCAGTCTGCCTCGCGTCTGCATGTGGAGCGCCGCTCGGCCCCCCCCCCTCGCGGGCCGTTCGCCGTGTTGGTACAGTGGAGGCCAGTCCACAAGAAACCTGTCACAAGAAGCCCAACCCTGAGACCCAAGGACGTCCATTGATTTTCGGTGTGGGAGCGGCACGCTGTCCATCGCAAGACCATCGAAACCCAAGACGCCCGGGACACCCTGGAGGCAAGCAGGATGTCTCGTGGCATGGGCCTCCACTGTAGGGGGCTGTCCAGCTCAGTGACGCGCAGAAGACGCGGGAGGCGCAGATCGCCTCCCTGCGACGCTTCGGGGGCGGGCGAGACCTCGGCCTCGCCAGGCCCCACCGTTCGTGAGGCGGTCCGCGGGGCGCTCCGGCCAGGCGTCGCTCTCGCGCCTGGCGTTGTCCAGATCAGTGACGCGCAGAAGACGCAGGAGGCGCAGATCGCCTCCCTGCGACGCTTCCGGGGCGGGCGAGAGCTCTGCCTCGCCCGGCCCCGCCGCTCGTGAGGCGGTCCGCGGGGCGCTCCGGCCAGGCGTCGCTCTCGCGCCTGGCGTGGGCCATCGGATGCGGCGCTCGCTCCAGATGATGGAGGGGCCGAGGGGAAGGACGGCAAGGCAGGCAGTGGAGGAGGAGGAGGAGGAGGATGAGGATGAGGCTGCTGCTGCTGCTGCTGATGCTGATGACGATGATGATGATGATGATGATGATGATGATGATGATGATGATGATGAGGAGGAGGAGGAGGAGGAGGAGGAGGAGGAGGAGGATCTATATATATATAGAGAGGGAGGAGGAAGAGGGAAGAGGAAGATGAAGTGGACATCGGCTCAGATTGGGAAGAGGAGCAAGACGAAACGGAGGAGGCGGAAGATGAACTTGAACCCCGAATGGCGGTAGATGGGTGAGCTGCCATGGCCCGTAAGATCTTGCACGGAGACCACGCGCGGGATGGAGTGCTTGGAGTGAGTAAGGTCATGGGGTGCCGAAAATGGTACATGAACTTCGGCGACGGCTGCAGCGTGTTCTGACTACATCGGTACGGGTACGGAGCGCTGGGGCATGAATGCTGCGGATTCTCGCAGGCAACTGTACAATATGAGAAGCAGACGCCTCCAGGCATTGGCGCAGGGATTAAAACCGCTGGCCCCCCTGTGCACACCACTCCTGCTGCACCTCCCCTTGCCTTGCTGCAGCGCTTCTGACCAGGAGCTGCAGACAGGTACCCGGTCTCTCCCTCTCTCATCGCCTCGCTCTCCCTGCCCCCATGTGTCTCTCCCCCTCTCCCTGATCCTTTTTCCTTCTAGGCAACTACGGCCACTCTGCCACCTCGCCGGTCGATAGCGACCCCGTCCGGGAGGGCCCATCCTACCCGTTGACACAACCGGACACGATCAAGGTTCGTCGCCTCATCTTGGGCATCCTGCCGTCCATGTTGCAGACCAGGGCCGCGCACGAGCGCCTTCCTTTTGCGGTGGGGGGGCGTCCCAATGCCAATTCAGCTTGCGCCACGCTTGATTCCCATGCTGTGGAAGGGAAGGTGAGAGCAGGCGGGGCCCTCACGCGCTCGACCTGGCTAACTTGACCTTTGTGGCTCTGTCCCTCCCCCCTCTATCCCTTTCTCCCTTCCTCTCTTGTTCCCTCCCTCCCTCTTTTTTGTTCTCTCTATCTCTCGCTCTCGCTCTCTCTCTCTCTCTCTCTCTCCTCTCTCCCCTTCTCTCTTTATTTATTCGTTTGTATGTTTCTATCTCTCGGTCTCTCTCTCTCTCTCTTTGTATATCTCCCTCTCTCCACATGTTTCTTTGTATACTGCCAAGACACACGTCCCCTCCACGAGACGCACCTGTACGAATCCCCTTACAGTGACGCCACAATGCCGGCATCGAATTGAAGCAATGTTCCTTTCCATCCCTGTGCGCACGCATCTTTTTTTGTTTGTGTCACGGTTGCGAAAAGTACATATCAAAGTTGATATGAACACCAATCGAATACACGCATGTGGTTAACCTTCAACGCTTCAACCCAACGTGAACAGATAGCCAATGACTATAAGCTAAAGCTGCAGCCAACTCCGACGCTGAAACCCTCGCCGGCGCACGGGCCAACATTGGAATGACCACCGTAATCACAACTGAACGCGCCCGCTCAATATACCGCAGAAGTCAAATCAGGAAGCTCAGCTCTCCCAACACAAACCTTAACTGACGACCACGCGTACACCCACACAGCAAGTGATGAAATGACGACGCCCACGCGGAAACTCAATACGCAGAGGGCGGTCGAGCCCAGCTTCCGCACAGGGATAGCGAGTTGATAATTTGAGAGAAGATAACAGATTTGGCGCAAGCTATGTGGTGCAATGTGTTGTGAAAACTATGCGGTGCAAGCTATGCAGCGCAGGCTGTATAGTGCAAGCTGCGCAATGTAATTAAACATGGCGTAAACAAACTGTTAACTTCCGGGCTCGCGCAACCATCCCACCCTTCCGTCCGCAACTTGTTTGGCACAACCCATGCGGCCTCGACGGTGGTTGCCAGTCGGAACTTGTGAGCGCGCGTCTGTGGCCGCATTGTGCGCGCGCGCTCCCGCGCAGAGCGGCCAACTGGTCTGGCAGAGGTGGTGCGGCCGCGACGGCGCTAGCAGATGGGAAATCCCCAGCGCGTCCGAGAGGCCGCGCTGGCGCGCAGGGGCTTCAGGGTGGGTCGGTGGCTCGGGCGGGCGCGATGTCATGATGCCGCCAGCGACGGCGGCAACCACAATGATGATGGTGCTGCTGGCGATGACGACGATGACAACAAGGCCAATGACAGCGCCGACACTGGTGTTGACGATGACGATGATGACTTCATGTGTTGGTACTGAGGATTGGTTACCGTGACGGTGATGACGATGATGATGATGATGATGATGATGATGATGATGACGATGATGATGATGCTGGTCGCGGCACGGGCGGCGATTGACGATGACGATGTCGGCGGTAATGCGATAGCGCTGGCGAGGGTGATGAGGATGTGCGCGCGCGGTGTCATCCAAGAACTGCGCGCGGATGCATCGCGTGGTGAAATCTGCAGTCAGGTTCTGGATGTGAGTGATAAACACATATGTTGTTTGGTCATCTGATTTCAGGAAACTCGCGTTGGCGCAGACTCTGGAAAAGTTGGACGAACCACCCATGGGTGGCTTCAGGTTTTTTGTTGAAATGCTTGAATCATTCAGATTTCGACCTGTGCGCGCGTGTGAACTTCGTGGTACGTTTTGCAAGGTGTTAGTGGTCGCATGGTCTTTACCTAACAGCGAATACTGATAGGTTTCTAATGGTCTCAAAAGAAAGCATCATGACTCCCCAGGGGGTCCGGGCAAGATCCGGGGAGAATCCGCAGAAGTCGTTTTAAGCAAACTGTAGGAGGAGCAGGGGCAAGAGCACGAGGAGGAGGAGGACGAGCAAGACGAGGAGGACGAGGACGAGCACGAGGAGGAGGAGGAGGAGGAGCAGGAGAAGGAGGACGAGCAGGAGGAGGAGGAGGACGAGGACTCCTACATGCGAGGACGAGCAGGAGGTCGAGCGACTGGGAGGACACCATAATTCTACACCAGGACTCCTACATGAATCTCAAGGGCAATGCTTCCAGATATGCTTCTACACATCGCTGTTAGGTTGCTTTGCCGGGATAATTTAAGATGAGCGGGCGGGCGCTTATCGTATGAATTGCTAGGGCGATGGGGGGTGTCGGTGCGGGTTCGGCCGGGATGGTATGGATTCATACGTGAACTGAGCGACGGTGTAGAATCAACCGTGTCTAATTTGCAATGCCCTGAGAGGGGTGGTTGGTAGAGGCCTCCTAGATGGGGTCCGAGTAGATGGGGTCGAAGGATCGCGCCGCATCGCCAATGCATCGCCGATGTATCGGTGATGCATCGGCGATGCATCGTCGACGTCGGCGATGCAACGGCGAAATCGATGTGAAGCAAATCGGGCTTCACAGCGAGCCGCATCGGCGATGCATCGGCGACGCGGCGCGATCCTCCGACCCCATCTGCTCCGACCCCATCTGGGAGGCCTACCTGGTTGGGGGCCGGAGAAGTCTGGGCTCGCAAGGGTGGTGGAGAACGAGTGGTGCATGCTGTGCGCCAGCGAGCGCACGAGCTGGCCGCGAGGCGCCCGCGGACGCGCACCTGGCGAGAGCCCAGTGTGCACTCCCGGTACGAGGCGCCCACGTGCGGGCACCGGGCGACAGCCCGGAACAGCCATGCAGTGATTACTTCCGAAGGCAAGTCAACATCCAGACGTGCGGGTGCCATGACACTGGGCACTCTAACAGTCCTGTCATTGAATTAGAGATGTGTTTAAACTGTGTACAGCATGTTCTAAACATATTTCCAACACTTTTTACAGATGTGAGTTTATATTTACGTCTATATGACAAACACATAGCTGAAACATCTTTTAGACTTCTGGAAATGACTTGGCAGCACGCTTCCTCTCCATTCATCGACTTCCACAAAGCTAGATGCAAGCACTGCCGGGGAGCTCCTCGAAGCAAACATCTGCCCCCTCCTGGCATCTGGCCCTGTCCGCCGATGCCGCACCTGTTTGTGACGTGGGTCCCCAGGGGCCTGGGCCCCTTCCCAAGGACCGGCCTCTCACCCAGAGGCAGGAGCCTCCTCCTCCTCCTCCTCCTCCTTCACCTCTTCCTCCTCCTCCTCCTCCTCTTCGTCCTCCTCCTCCTCCTCCACCTCCTGGGGAAGCAGCCCCCGAAGACCGAGAACAGTGAACAACAGGGCCTCACGATTTTTTTGTGCGACGCCTGGATCTGCATGTCCTTCAGAAATAATCGGCTCCGGGACCCATCCCGAGATGCAGCCTGGCCAGACTCCGAGAAGGGGGGACCTCCGTCTGTGGCGACAAGAGCGCTCCATGGACCCATGATCCCCCCCCCCGGTAGACAAACGAAACGCGCCCAGAACCATCGAAACTAGAAGCTCAATGGCGAAGGGGAACGCTAGGGGGGACGGGCTCAAGGTTGGAAGCATCGACCTGGAATCGCCGATCGATCGGCGATAGGCTCCTGATAGCGACGCCGCACGGTCCCGTGCGGGGCGGGCTATCGGGCCCCCAGCGGCGATGAGTGGGCGACTGGGGATCCACGCGTCAACGCCCCCCGAGCCTGCGGCCGGGAACTTTTGCTGCGATAAGCTGCGCCTGGCAAGCGGACAGCGCGTCGCTCCGCCCTGCTCCGCGGGGCGGGAGGCTCGGGACAGCTCGGGACGTCGTTGACGCCTCGAGACCGGAGAGCGGTGGGCCAGAACCCGCGGAGCGGCACTTTTTACGTCGCAGCGCGGCAAGGGCGGTCCGCGCGAGCGCTCAGGCAAGCCGGGCGACGGCATTCCGAATTGCCCAGACGCAACAGGGGAAGGAGGGGAATAGAGAGAAGCGGCCGCGGGAGCCGGGGAAGGAACTAAAGTTAGGTCGGGCATGTCCTCCTACAGGTGGATTGTCGACGAAAAATGAGAAATACCCCCCGCAAATCAAACATGGTGAAACATGGTCAGAAAATCGCACCCAGATCAATTTTGGACTATTGGAGAATATTCCTCCTGTAGAGGGACAGGCCCGATCTAAAATAAAAGCGTTCACGCAGCGGGGGTCGCAGCGGGGCGGCCAAGCCGGCGCTGCCCGGCGGAGCAACGCAATATCCACAAAACCTTCCCGGCCGCTGTCCGAGAGCCTCGGGGGAGGAGGAGGAGGAGGAGGAGGAGGAGGAGGAGGAGGAGGAGGAGGAGGAGGAGGAAGGAGGAGGAGGAGGAAGAGGAGGAGGAGGAGGAAGAGGAGGAGGAGGAGGAGGAGGAGGAGGAGGAGGAGGAGGAGGAGGAGGAGAGTGAGGAGGGAGGAGGGAGGAGGAGGAGGAGGAGGAGGAGGAGGAGGAGGGAGGAGGAGGAGGAGGAGGAGGAGGAGGAGGAGGAGGAGCCCACGAGAGCCTCGGGGGGCTGGCCCCGTCGCCGCCTTCCCCCCACGCGCTGCCGGGCCCCGTCGCCGACGGAGGCGGCCTCACTGCACCACGCGCGACGGCCAGGAGCTCGCCGCGCGGCTGGCGAACGTGCTGCGCCACAGCGCCCTCGGCCGCGCGGTGCCGTCGTCGTCCCCCTCCTCGCGGAGGAGCGGGCCAACAAAAACGAGGAGGAGATGGAGGTGATGGGAGTTTGGGGAGAAGAGAGAGGGATGATGATGATGATGATGATGATGATGATGATGATGATGATGATGATGATGATGATGATGATGATGATGATGATGATGATGATGATGATGATGATGATGATGATGATGATGATGATGACGAGGAGGAGGAGGAGGAGGAGGAGGAAGAGAAAAGGAGGAGGATAATGAGGAGGAGGAGGAGGAGGAGCAGGAGCAGGAGGAGGATAATGATGAGGAGGAGAGGGCAGAGGAGGTGGAGGAGAAGGAGGCGGAGGAACATAAATAGGGGGAAGAGAGAGGATGATGAGGAGGATGTGAAGAGAGAAGTGGGGAGGGGGAGGAGGAGGAGGAGGAGGAGGAGGAGAAGGAGGAAGAGGAGAAGGTGGCGGATAATCGAAGATCTTGTGCGTGTTTGGTCTCTTCGGGGCCTCTGGAAGCCTCCAAAGGCATCTGGGGGCCTCCGGAAATCTCCCTCCGGAGATCTCCAAATACCTCTTGGATGCGTATTCCAGACGGGCTCCCTCTACGCTTAGCGGCAATCTGAACACGACCACCGAGGTCACTAAAGGCCGAAAGACAGGACACAAGAGATGGAACAGACAACTGGGATCATCGAGCAGCCCGGTACAGCTCTCTGCGCTTTTCTGCTCGCAAATCTCCCCTGCCGACCGAAGATGGCGTCTGGAGCGCCGAGAAGAGCCTCATGCCTGCTCAAGAAGTGAGCAAGAGCCCCCCAACTTAGCTGCCCCGATCTGCAACACGCAAGACGTAGCGTATTGCTACGGAGCTCAACGCGTAGACTGAACGCGTACGCCTGGCGCGGCACGTTCGCCACAACGTGGGCCAACACGTGGAGAGCCAACACGCAACGTGTTCACACGGACGTTTCGAACACGGTGCGTGCTGCGCTTCCGCACGGGCGTGTGGAGGCAGCTGAAGCCCCCAAACCACGGTCCACGAACGACTCCCCGACAGAGGGCGCCGAGACGGCCCGCGGGCGGTCCCCAGGCGGCCCTGAGGGCAGCCCAGACGGCCGATGAAGTGCCCGCGAGCGCCCCCCAAAAGGTAGCACTCGAGGGCCCCCACGAAGCTCCCCCCAAGACGCCCCTGAGAGGACCCCAGGCAGCCCCCAGGGCGCCCCGAGTGGGCCTCAAGAAGCACCCAAGACGCCCCAAGAGCGCCCCAACCGCCAAAGAAGGCTTACAACATTTGATCATTCTTATTGTTCCGCCTCTCTCTGTTTCTCTCCCCCTCCCTCCCCCGCTTCCTCGGTCTCTTGTTGTATTTGTTTGTCTCTCCGTCTCTGACTCTCTCTCACACACTCTCTCTCTATATACACCTATATATCACTGCGTCTCTCCCTCTCTCTATACATATATATAGAGAGATATCACTATGTCTCTCTCTCTCTCTTTCGTTCCACCGCTCTCCCCCTCTCTCTCTGCCTCTCTCGTTTTGTTCTCCGTTCTATACGTGTATGGCGGCACTCTGCTACATTCTGCAAATCCAAGAAACATCGAACATACTCCAAACATACTTCCAGAAAACACTTTGCATGCCTAAATTGAAAGTCTCCAGACATGCTCTGGGGACTATCAAACAAACCTTTTGTAAAGCCGGCGCGGCGCACAGCTGCCAGGGACAGGTCTGGGACAAGGGAGCAAGGCAACGGCATGGCTAGGACTTCAAGACACAGCACACTGTAGAGCGGCCTCCTCCTCCTCCTCGTCGTCCTCCTCCTCCTCCGCCTCCTTCGGACAGACAGCCTGACATATAACGACATGCAGACTCACTGGCTAAGCGACTAACGGACGCACTGCCACTCCGCCTGGGGACAGGCGGCGAGCGCTATGGAGCGTAAGCTCCGCAGACAACATAATCGACGACCCCACCCTGGCGGTCTGCCGCTCGGAGGATCGGAGAGACGTAAGACTCGGGTTCGGGCGATTCGGGTTGGCCAGACGGGGCCATCATGAAAATGACGAGACCAAATTTGAAATTTGACGCGAGCTCCCGCTGCGGACATCCCACGAAAATTGGGCCGTCAAAATCCAGGACGCGCGCATCAACAAAAACGTCGGCAAACCCGAGTACAGGCGTACTCGAATCTTACGTTTTCCCGAGAGGAGAGGGTAGGAGGAGTATAAGGGGAACGGAAAATGCCTTAAACATAAAAACTCGGAGGTCCGCGTGGATTTCTCGAATCCGCGCTGGACCCCCCTCCCTGGCGCGCTGAGCGCGCCAGGGGTGGCGCCGGAGGCGCCGCCAGGGGGCCCCAGCGCGGATCCGAGAAATCCGCGCGGACCTCCCAGTTTTTTTCTTGTGTTTATGCCATTATTCGTTCCCCTAAGCACGGTGGGGGCATTGGATAAGGAACCAATGGCTAAGGAATCCAGGGTCTCGAAGTCAGTGGAACTCCAATCGTGGATAGGCCATGGATATCCATCGCCGCCGCCCTCCTCAAAGAAGGAATCCTCCCGGGTCTGAGGCCTCCTGGGCGCATTCCTTGACCCCTCCCCCTCCTCCTCCTCCTCCTCTTCCTTCTCCTCCTCCTCTTCCTGATCATCATCCTTCTCCTCCTCCTCTTCCTCCTCCTCCTCCTCTTCTTCCCACCGTACTGCACGAGGGACAGCAGGCGCGCGCGCGGCGGGGCACTGCTCGCCGCCGGCGCTGCTCGCCGCGCGAGGGCGGGCCGCACGCGGGTTCGGGCCCCCCGCCCTCGCCGGGGCCCTGGATCTGGCCGCCGTCGGCGCGATCGCTCCCCCCAAACGCCGGGGGCGGCATCTCGAGCTCGACTCGGATCGACCGAAAAATCTCGGCCCGACGGCCTCGTGCCCGTGCAGTGGAGGCCAGTCCACGAGAAGCCTTCCACAGGAAAGCCAACCCTCGGGCCCCAAATCGTCCGTGGATTGCTGGTGTGGGAACCTCACGCTTTCCGTGGCAAAGCCCTCGAAACCCAAGAAACCGAGGGGGCCCTCTGGAGGCAAGCGGAGTGTTTCTTGGCATGGCCCCCCACTGTACCACACGGGGGCGGGGCGGCGAGATCCTGAGCCGCGTCCGGGACGCGGACGGGGTGACGGGGAAGGGGCCCTGGCAAGAGGAGGGGGGTGCCGTCGGCATCGACGCCTCCGTGACCATAATATCATGTTGCCCCCATCGTACTTAAGGACCACATTCCAGAAATAATTTCGAGCACCCGGAGAAGTGTCGAAAGAGTGTCGAAACAGTGTCGGACGAGTGTCTCCCAGGGCCAGACACGGGAAAGCCCTCGAGTTTGGGTACTTTTTTGGTGCTCAAAATTATTTCTGATGATCAAGGCTAAAGTAAGTTGGAATATGATAACCATAGTCGTGGGGTGCCCCCCCATGCTGCATCCAGCTCTCCGCGGCGCAGACATGGTGCAAACTCTCCCAAGATAACGCATTCTTCCCCACCGGGGGTGTGCTCCCTCTACGGCTTCCCCGAGGGTTCGGATGGTGAGAGCCGCGAGGCGTCAGAATGTTCAAGACTTCCTTGGGTGACTCCAACCTTGCACGAGATAGCCCAGAATGGCCTCTAAGATAATGCAGAATACTCCAAATTGGATGACATGGCCTCCAGCATGGCTCCAAGAGGCCCCCAGTACGATCCAAGATGGCTCCGAGGTGCCCCCCGAGCCCACCAAAATGGTGCGACAAATTTTGAAATCCATGTTTAAAAACAACATGTGGTTTTGGCTTTCTCACCTGCTCATGAGTCCAATGGGCCTCTGATGTCTCATGCTTCCCTAAAAACGCCCAGGAGAGGCCGACAGCGTCTAGGATGGTTCCGGAAACCGTCCGAAAGGCTTGCGCAGATGCTACAGATGATCCCAAGGGACCTGCACAAATCCCAAGGGCCCCAAATTTGAGCATGGTTGGGTGCTGCTCGGGCTGATCCCAACTCCAGCCTGTTGGACCGGTGCCTCCCCGGCTGGGGATCCAGGATGGGCCGCTGGGGATGCGAGAGGTGGCGGCAAGGCTCTGGGCTGTGCGCAGGCAGTCCCCCGAGGTAGTCCCAGCTGCCTTCCGCAGCCACCCGGAGTAGCCCTGGGCGGTCTCAACGCCCCGGCACCGCCTCCAGCGGCGACCCTGGCGCGCCCCCGCGCCCCGAGGTTGGAGAGCGCTGAGAGCGCCTTTGGCTACGCAGGGGGGGGGGGCTGCTGTTGGCCAGCGCGGGCGACCTCGGGAGGGGGGGTCCGTGCGCAGCCCCCGTGCCATGCCAACGCGAGGCGTCAACGTCCCCCTGCTCCTCCTGCAGCTGCTCCCCTTCCGCCGCGCTGCGGTCCCAGGCGTGCAGGCAGCGCTTGTTGCTCACGACCAGAATGTCGCCCGCCTGCAGGAGCACCCTCTCCGAGACGTCCTCCGCCACCTGGCAGAGGACTCGGGAGCTGGACTGGCCAGGGGGCCAGGGGCAGTGCGCAAAGCCCGGGCTCAGAGAGGGCCACGTCGCGTTCCCAGAGGGCTGGGGAGCGGGGTCGGCTCCAGGAGGAGGAGGAGGGAGGGGGAGGAGGAGGGGGAGGAGGGAGGGGGAGTAGGAGGAGGGAGGGGGAGGAGGAGGAGGGCCAGGGTCAACGAGTCTTTTTGCTACACAGGGACATCGCCTTCTGACTTCGCATACGGATCCACATGTGAAGCTTATCTCACGGGAGCGGGGAGCGAGACCTCCAGACGAATATCTCGGAGCACCAGTGCGGAGGAGGTCCATCCTGGCCAGTGGTTCGAGCCCAGACGTGGCCACGAGAGCCCCCCGGTTCAAGAAAGCGGGGAACGTGACAGTCCCGCCCTCGCGCTCGGACCTAAAAACATGATATTGACTGGTTCCCCAGACCTGTATAGTCAATCTTACCAAATCGCCCTCAAGACCTGTGTAGTGTTACGAGGACAACCCGAACTGCTTGACATGAAAAGGGACTTCTAGCACAACCCCCTGGATTAAAAAGTGGTGACCGCGGAGACAGCGCAAGAAATGTTGCTTGACTCCCGTGAGGCAGCGGGGCCCCGGGACAATGGTGGATTTGCTGCCTCCATCCTTCCTTTTAATGTAATGTAAGGCCAAGTGGGGATTCGACCGGAAAGTGGGATCTCGCCTGCGGATTCCTCAGGAAAAGTGTTTGGTCACCTTCCAGGGCGACCGATGAATTAATTCTGCCGTGCCACCAGGAAGTGGAGACACGGCTGATGATTCCCCATTCCCCCTCAACCAACATCGCATCGCTTCTCGTGCCGCCAGAAGGCTGCGATGTCGCTTGGGACTTCCTGGCGCTCGAGTTGCTCCGGTCGCTGTTCAGGCGCCGAACGCCACTTTTCAATCCAGGGGGTTGTAGTATGAGGTCGGGCATGTCCCCCTGCAGGCGGCTTTTTTGGACGAGAATTAGAAATTAGTCGAACGATGCTCAAATACTGTCAAGCACAGTCGAACATCGTCCGCTGTCTATTTTTCCCGACCATCCTGTGGTGTTGGGTCCTCGTTTTGAAGAGACAGCGCCCCGTGTTCCTTCCTTCCCTCCATCCCGCTGCCCCCTCCCTCCTCCGATCCCTGGCCTCTGCTCTCCGCATGCCAATCCCATTCTGGCACTCCCCTCAAACGGTTCGCGGCCCCACAAGGAGCTCCACAGAAGGCCCCAGTGGCAGGGTCCGCGTGCGGGGACCGCCACCCATTTTGGCACACCCCTCACACGGTTCGTGGCACCACAAGGAGCTCAACCGAAGGCCCCAGCGGCAGGGTCCGCATGCGGGGACCGCCGCCCATTATGGCGCACCTATGCGGGGAACGCCACCCGAGAGGTCATCCTCATGCTGGAATAATATGCGTAGTGTTTTCGCGTAGTGTGTTTGCGTAATGTTTTCGCGGCGTGTTTTTGCTGCATAATGTGTTTGCGTCGTGTTTTACGTAGCTTTTGCGCCTTGTTGTTGCGTCGTGTTTTTGCGTGAAGTGTTTGCGTAATGTTTTCCAACTCTTACATCTACTCCTACACCTACTACGACTCCTGCTCCTGCTCCTACGACTACGACGACGACGACGACGACGACGACGACGACGACGACGACGACGACGACTACTACTAATACTACTACTACTACTACAAATATTAGTACTGCTACTACTGCTGCTACTACTACTACTACTATTACTACTACTACTACTACTGCTACTACTACTACTACTACTACTACTACTACGACTACTACTACTATTACTACGGCTACTACGACTACTACGACTACTACGACTACTACTACCACCACTACTACTACTACTACTACTACTACTACTACTACTACTACTGCTGCTACTACTACTACTACTACTACGACTACGACTATTGCTACTACTACTACTGCTACTGCGACTGCTACTGCTACTACGACTACTACTACTTTTACTACTACTACTACTATTATTACTACTACTGCTACTGCTACTGCTATTACTACTACGGCTACTACGACTACTACGACTACTACGACTACTACTACCACCACTACTACTACTACTACTACTACTACTACTACTACTACTACTACTACTACTACTACTACTACTACTACTACTACTACTACTACTACTACTACTACTACTACTACTACTACTACTACTACTACTACTACTACTACTACTACTACTACTACTACTACTACTACTACTACTACTACTACTACTACTACTACTACTACTACTACTACTACTACTACTACT